GCCACCGAAGCCTAAGGAGTGCAGTGATGAAGAGGTAAGGTTTACAGACATATTTATTTTAACCATGTAAATGTCATAGCAATGCCATGGTCTGGTCTCTTTCTTAGCCTCTATAGTACAAATCATCTTGTACATCACTAACAGAGACTGCAAGTATCAGACTGATTCCTAGGGGATATATGCCTGCCTTGAGTATCGAGCAGGCTATTTAGACCATGGCATAGCTCCTGATCATCCGTAACAAGCTGTAAGCAAGCGGGAGAGAGTAACTTCAAAGGCTACTCCAAGACCAGAGGGAAGGGAGGGCTTCCATGCACCACTGGAATCATTTTGTAAAGGGTTTTCAAAATCTTTGGGATTCTTTTCCACATAGGATGATAAATGTGTGAAATAGGAGTAACTGGGAAAATGGCAACTATTGTAAACTACTACCAGGGCTTCAATCTAAACAGTTTGTTGACATGATGGAGGTTTAGCTGATGGATTTTTGTCCTTTCTCATAGGATAACTACATTGTGCCAGTGGACAATGATGATGACAACTATATTGAACCCACAGAAAGCAGCATGTCACTTCCTACAAGATGTGAGTTTTAATCATTTAAGCTTGTAATTACTGCTTTATTAGGAATAATAGTGAAAAATATGGGTCAAATTAATATCTGTTTCTAGGGTTCAGAGAGTGGAGATGCAGCTATTAAAGACATCACAGCCTGCAAAATGGCAGTTGGCTCCTTTGGTTTATGAGAAGGCCAAGGAAAATTATTTTTAACTTTATTGAAAGACATGTTTAATTTCTGCCTCTCTCACTCAGCTATTTCAAAGTCCAGCCCTTGTACAACCAGGGGGTTTTTCATGACATATGACCTGCCTTCTCATCCAAGGAAGCAGCAGCCTTAAAATTCTCTGTTTGCTGAAGTGTTTCAGGAGAAGAACAAGCATTTTTAGATATTTTGTAGATAGACTTTGCTTTTATTTTCGGGTTTCTTTAATCTCACTGTATATCTATTTAGCTAGAGAATGAAACTACTACAGCCAGAAGGTGAAAAACAAACAGAGAAGAGTATGTAGTTCTGCTCTCTGACGTTACTGACAGTATCTTCAGAAAGGCTGGAATACTGAATAATATTTCTCTTTTAAAGTGAGAGCTGCTTTCTGACTCAGTTGATTTATTCAAGGTCACACAGAAGGTTGTTATTTCGACCTACTTAATATTCATTCTTATTGTATATATGTTACATTTTTAGTTTGTTAACAGATGTATATATATATATAAATATGTGTGTTTATATATGTATACACATGCACAAGTATATATATATGTACATTAATAAAATATGTTTTTAGCACCTGTGAACAGATTTATGAAGACAACAAGGCCAGCCCCCCCTATTTCTCCAAAGCCTTCTCTTACTTCTAATATGCAAGGTATGTGGAGCTTGCATCGCTGTTAGAATGAAATAATGTAAGACTGTGGAATACTAAATTATGCCTAATGTATTCACACCACTAACACTATGACATAGAAAGTAAAACAAAAATATGTTCCCCTTTTTCTATGTTGTAGCAGTTGTTTTGTCTAGCTTGAATAGTAAATCCATTTTAAGAATGAATAAAATTAGAGCAAGTTATTTGCCCCAAATTATTTTTAGTATTTTGCTCTAGTGGAGGAACACAAATGGATCAACACAGGAAAAAGAATTACAGGACTCAGTATTTCACCACAAGAATCAAGACCCTTAGACCATTCAAGTTAGCCATCTTCTCTACAAGCTGATGTCTTGCATGGCCTTTTATAACTGTGCTCCCGTTGAGATTCTGTAAAGAGCAGTTTATTTGGGAAAAAAAAACAAAATAA